CCAGGCTGGGAGACAGGGGCAGGACAGGGGTCAGATCACAGAGGTCTGGAACTTTCTGCTTGATGGGACTATCAAAGGGAGAAGAGAAACTTCCAGGGGCTGAGTTGGAGGGGGAACAGAGCTGCAGCTATAAAGGTGGGAAGCCAGGTGGGCTTTGCAGGGAGGCTTGGAGAACCCAGAGGCAGTGGGAGCCCAAGGTCCCAGGATGGGGTCTCTTCACCATGTGAGGTGCCATAGAAGACCTTTCACATGGTACCTGCTAACAATCAGGAAGAATCCCTGAGGACTCTGCTCCTCCTATGGTATGGATCTTCCCCCTCCTCCAACCTCCACTCCTCAGCTGGGAAGAGACAGGTTCCCCCTCAGGAGCTGAAGCTATCCCTCTAGCTCATGGCCAGAGGCAGCTAGCTGGGCCCAAGAGTGGGCCCAAGGTGATAGCATGTTCTGTGCCCAGGATGTGGATGCTGCCTACATGAACAAGGTGGAGCTGGAGGCCAAGGTGGATGCCCTGATGGATGAGATCAACTTCCTGAGGGCATTCTATGAGGCGGTAAGAGGGCCCAGTGTTCCCCCTACCTCTGGAAGGGCTGGTGGCTGGGACAGGGGCTGCTGATTTCTTCCCTGGTCTTCTGCTACAGTCCCTCTCTCCATCTGTGGGTGTAATTCATGAGGCAGATGCAAGTTCCCATACAAGGGAGAAAACAAGTTTCCTTAGAACAGCTAGAAGGTAGGGGGAGGTGGAAAATTTAGCCTCAACCACTTGAACCAACCATGTTCCATTGGGCAAACAAAAGAATGGACTTCTGCGATTGAAATGGCTGAGAATTTCACAGAAGCATCTAGCAACCTGGCTCTCCCAGCCCAGCCCAGCTCAGCCCAGCCCAACCCTACCTGCTGCTCTACCTAGAGCTATTACTGCAAAATGATGCAATTACGCAAATCAAGCAGCAATTAGCAAGCCTGCAGGTGCTTCTGGAAGCCTGCAACGCAATTGCCTGCTTCTCCTGAAGACATGATTTTGTTGAGCACCTCTATTCAAGGATACTCTTCTCAGACACTTACCACTAGGATGGAACTGAGAAAACCCAATGGAACCCCTAGATTCTTAGGTCTTATAGCTAGGGAGTCAGGCAATGGTGAGATAATCAAATAACTACCATTTCAGGCATAATGGGGGCAAAGAAGAAAATTGGCAAGAGGCAGCCATGGAAGGCAAGGAGCCAGTGACATTTAATAAGTCTGAAGGAAGAGAAGATATGAGCCAGAAAGACAAGGGGAGGTGGATTGTGTCTCAGCCACAGGGATCTGGAAGAACAGCATGGCTAGAGCAGAGTGAGGAGGTGGGACAGCAGTGTCAAGGTGGGGAGAGGAGGTGGATTGTGTACCCCAGGTAAGTCTCCAGGTAGGGCAGTTGACATCTATAGGGTCACCTATGTTTGGCGCCCACCAGCAGCCTGCCATGTTGTTCCAAGACCAGAACATTCAGCTCTAAGACCAGGTGCCTCCAGTGACCATCTCACAGCTCGCATGAGACAAAAAGCTATCCTTTGCTCTGCTTATTCTCTTCATTATGGCAACCAGCGTGGTGCTGGCTCCTAAATCTGAGGGGGCCCCTTGCCCAGCAGGCCCATGGGCTGAACCTCACCCCCATCCCGCCCACAGTGAAGTCAAGGAGCAGGAGAAACTGTATGGAAAAACCAAACTACAGCTTAAGAACAAAATAGCCCTTTGCTGAAACAGAAAATGTATGAAGCAGCTGGTACTAAAGAGGACAGAGGGGCATTTTTGCTTTGATTTATGCTTTGGACCAGCAATTCTCAGATTCCAAAGCATCAGAATCTTCTGGAGTCTTATTAACATACCAGCTTGGACTGAGGATGTCTGGGGAGCTGAATGTGGCATTCCCATCCTGCTCCCAGGTGGGTGGGGCTGATACTGTCCATCTGAAGTGAGAAAATCCACTGCCTTGGTCAATTCTGAAAATAGATCAAATCAAATTAATTGTGGGCTTACTGTTCAAAAAATATCTTTTATGCATTATTACTGAGCCCTCACGGAAGTCTTGCAAGGCAGTATTGCAATGAGCCTCTCTGAAACCCAGAGATGCTCTCCAAACTTGCTCTGCAGAGCCAGACTTGGATTTCTCAGCCCTATGTGCTTTCTGCTAATCCAAGCTCATTTCCATTTCCCAGTCCTGAGGAGCAAAATTGGGAAACAGAATGAGGATATAGCCGAGTTGTCTGGCTCCTTCTGACTCAGTTTTCTTTCCCAAGTTGATTTCTTTATGTGGTATGAAGGGCTGTGCTTTCTCAGAACATTAACAGTCATAACAAGGTGTGCTCCCCCCACCCCCCGCCATCCCGCAATGGGAGTGGTTTCTGGAGAATTTTGGCTAGGGTTACCTGTGCTGCTGCTCCCCAGGCCAGATGAGCCGATGATAAAGAGCAGCTGTAAACTTCCTAATGTCCCTCCCGAGTTTTGAAGGCTTCTAGAGATAATCAGGGAGCATGACCCAAAAATACAAGACCCTCTATGCCAGGGTCTGTCTTCCAACACAAACAGGCACATGAATGCCCCGCCTCAGCTCTCTCCTTTGGGCCCAATCACAGGAGCTGGCCCAGCTTCAGGCTCAGATCTCTGAAACTTCCGTGGTCTTGTCCATGGACAACAACCGCAGCCTGGACTTGGACAGCATCATCGCCGAGGTCAAGGCGCAGTATGAGGACATTGCCAATCGCAGTCGGGCCGAAGCGGAGTCCTGGTACCAGACCAAGGTGAGCTCTCAAGAGAAAATCCATTAAACAAGCACAGAGAGCCAAGGTTTCAAACACAAATAAGATGAGAGCCTTGTCTTCTCAGATGTTCCAGCCTGGGTCAAAGGCATCTGAGTTCAGCTCGAGACTCACCCTCTAATCTAGCACCATCAGGAGCTGGGGAGTAGCCAGATGTAGGCAGAAAATGATCAGTCCCTCTGCTAGGACAGATGGACACACACTTTCAATGCCCTGTATCAGAGAACAGGTACAACTGGACAGTTTCAGACATAATTCCAACAGGAGGATGAGGAGGGGACATGGTCACGATGAAGGTCTAACACCTCCTGGTAGAAGCTAGAGCATCCAGAGAAGAGAGGTGGAACTGGCTGGGGTGGCAACACTGCGAGGTCACAGAATGAGATTCTTCAGGGTGGAGTAGACACTCTGCTGGGGGATCTTGAAGGATGAGATGTGGTGTCCGGACAAACAACTATGGAGGAGCTATGGAAACTGAAAGGGCTGGGCACCCAGTGTGATGCTGTGGGGGGGAGGATACAGTGCTTGGAGTGGAGGGAGAAGGAAGAGCCTGGCCATGGGTCAGCTGTGGGGTGAAGCCTGTGGACACAGAGAGTGAGGGGCTATGATGGCGCAGGATGCGGGCAAAGCCAGGAGTCTCCAAGCAGGACAAAGGAAGCCTGTGGAGCCTAGGAGCCACCACCTGCTCTCCTCCATTACTCAAGGCCTGTTTCTCTTTTCTTCTAGTATGAGGAGCTGCAGCGGTCCGCCGGCCGGCATGGGGATGACCTCCGCACCACCAAGATGGAGATCTCCGAGCTAAACCGGGCCATGCAGAGACTGCGCTCGGAGATTGATAACCTGAAGAAACAGGTCAGTCTTAGCTCCCAAAGGTCATCCCATCCATGCCCTTGCCTTTGGGCAGAGCTGGACCTGGGCCTAACTCAACTCATGCAGAGAAAAGCTTCCTGGACCTGTGGTCTCCATATATATAAAAATGTATCCACTAGACCTGTCCTTTCCTGTGGAGTCTCAAATGGCCACACCTTGGCTTGCATTACTTACCCTCTGCCAGGGAAGTGTGGCATTGAAAAGGGCCTCAGAAAACCATTTTCTCCATCCTGATGAGGGAGGTTGTAATTATCCAAGGAGGACAGAGAGCACTCCAGCTCCAGCCTCCTTTACCTTAAATCCATTTCAGGGAATCCTTCCATGTTTTTGTCATAAAGTCCACTTCTTATTACATTCTCTGTGAATGGTGTCACAATCTCCCATCTCCCGCTGGCAGTGCGCCAGCCTGCAGGCCGCCATTGCTGATGCGGAGCAGCGTGGGGAGATGGCCCTCAAGGATGCCAAGAACAAGCTGGCAGAGCTGGAGGACGCCCTGCAGAAGGCCAAGCAGGACATGGCGCGGCAGCTCCGAGAATACCAAGAGCTGATGAACGTCAAGCTGGCGTTAGACATTGAGATTGCCACCTACCGCAAGCTGCTGGAGGGCGAGGAGTGCAGGTGGGTCAACTTCTGCCAAAGCAGATGCCACCAGAGCATGTCATTATGCTACAGAAGCTGCATGAGTCCCACAGTGTCAGCCCCCCACAGAGAAATTCCATGCCACTGCTCCTTTAGAGACATCCTGTAGCTGCAGCCACTGTCACCATTCCTGCTGGACCTAGGGCAGCATCAGGGCCAAAGGTATCAGAAAGAGGAGTGATCATGACCCTGTGGAACCCCTAAGCAGGCCATCTCCATGCACGGCCTATAGCAAACTTAGCCACACTCACGACCAGCCTCAGAGGCCCCATGTCTTCCCAGAGATGCCCTATAATCCTGGTCCACCTTTGGCATGAATCCCTCCCACCTCTAAATGTCTCCTCACATATTTTCTTTAGTTTTCAAGCTAAAGAGGTAAGTGGAACCCAGGACTCTCTAACTTCTCAGCAATGAAATGTCCCTTTCTCTCCCCACCTGCCACAGACTCACTGGAGAAGGCGTTGGATCTGTGAACATCTGTGAGTAACTGTCTTGGGATGAAAGAAATTTGGGGGGGGGGGTGCAAAATGAGTGCTAACAACATCACTAATTAAGATTTTGTGGTTAGAAAATGAACATTCTGTGGCATTAAGACCCTCTTCGGGGCTCTGTGAAGACCCCTCTCCTCCCAATGGGGTCAAGAGAACTCAGCACTGGGACATTCCATGTCCCTAAGGAAGGAATTGGAGTAGAGCTCAGAGACTTTCTCCTCACTCTGGAATAATCTCCCCAGGATCAGTAGGTGACCCCTCACCCCCTAAGCTGGCTGCAGTGGGGTCACATGTCCTCAGGAGTGTGACACCAGCCTGGCCCCTGAGGATCCCATTATGGGACAGGACTGCTCAAGCAGAGATGGGTCCCCAGTTCAATGGCCTGATTTCTCTGAGATTCAGAAACTAACATAATAAGAAGCTGTGAAGCAGGTTCAAGGAAAAGACTTTTATTTAGATTTAAGCACTTTAACTGAACAAGTAGAACAGTCACTGGCCTGGCTTGGCCTGGACTCCCAGGAGGGAGACCAGGAGGAATCATGTCACAGAGCCACATCCCCGACCCAGGAAAAGATGGGCATCCTGTGTGATGCCACAGGAGCCCTGAGTCCTGGTCATGGAAATCAAAGCCCCTTGGGCGTCCCTGAATCAGAACACCTGGGAGCCTGGAAGAGAGCCTGCCACCAATTGGAGTCGGTCACCTTGGCCATCCCTCTCCTCCAGACAGAATCCACAGAGATAGCCCATCCATCCGAGTCTCAGAGCCCTCCAGGGTCCATTCCAGCCCACACTGACTCAACTGCTCTGGGCCAAGACCTGGGCTAGGATTTTGCCCTTAAGGAATTTCCAGAATGGGGGTGTCATAGGACCTTCATGGGGAGAAGCCAACTCTGAAAGTGAGGGTTGGAGCAAAGCCTTCTCATGTTGGATAAAGTCAAGAGGCTGCCCCCGTCAAGAGGGAGCTCCTCATCCTTGAAAACATAGCTTAGACACAAAAGTGTTGCCTCTCAGTGATGTGGTCAAGGGGACTCCAATTCCGGAGGGGTTCATCAGGTGGTCTGTTCTGCAGCATGGCAGTCTGCGGTCCTCTCCCTAAATCCGAGGCCTCATGTTGCACCCCACATGACAGCCTCTTGGTAGAGAAGAGGAACCAACACAGCACAGGAGCCTGAAGTCTTCATTCTGGCAGGCATGACCTTGGCCAAGGCATTTGATCTCTTTGCATCTCATCTTTTCTTTTTAAAAGGGGGTCACTGTAATGATGCCCTCTCAGGCCTCAGTGAGATCAGTGTGGTCATAGCTGTGAAAGGGCTTTAAAAACTGTGGGATGATGGGCCCATGCCCACCCTGCCTCAACCTGACCACTGTTCCCAAGGCTCCCTGGGGGGAGAGTGTTGCCTGAAGCAAGACGCTGTGGGAGGACAGGCCTAGGCATGAGACCCCACCCCAGAGGGGCATCTTGGGAAAAGAGAGGAACCTGCTAACGTGCCTGTCTTCCCTCCACAGCTGTGGTCTCTTCCTCTGGAGGCTCAGGCTACAGCGGGGGCAGCGGCCTGTGCATGGGTGGGGGCGGCTACAACAGCTGCCTCAGCTATGGTGGCAGCGGCGGGGGCAGCGGGTTCAGCTCCACCAGCAGCCGTGGTGGCAGCAGCAGCAGTTCCAGCATGCGCATCATCTCCAAGACGTCGTCCTCCACCAAGAAGAGTTACAGGAGCTAAGGCGCCCACCTGTCCTGGGCAGCCGCCCTCAAGGTCCAAGCTTCCAGCCTCAGGCCTGATGCTTTGCCCGCATCCCATGCTCACATCCACCGCAGCAGGCAGGGGAGTGGCGAGTGGCTATGAATTTAAAGGTCACCTTGTCCATCACTTGTCACAGGCCCCAAAGAGTTCGCTCATCCATCCTGGTCTCAGAGCCCTCCCGGGTCCATTCCAGCCCACACTGACTCAACTGCTCTGGGCCAAGACCTGGGCTAGGATTTTGCCCTTAAGAAATTCCCAGAATTGGGAGATGTCATAGGATCTCTTCCTCCTGTCTGACCCAGATCCACTACAATCCCAAGATGATTCCTCTTGCTCAGTCCTTCATGGGAACCTTAAAATTGACCCAGGGACCCTAAAGAAGTCCAGGGCTGTCTAGGTCTAATTTTCTACATAGGTTGTTTCTCCCTAAAGATGACACTTTTCCTGCTGGGCCCTCAGACCAGGAAATATCTTTGCAAAACCTGTCACACATATTGCCTTCTCTCCTCCTTTTATTTTGTCTCTGTACAGGCCCTCAGCCAAGTCCACCAGCAACTCCCCCCAGTAAAATATTTGAACAAGGAATCAATAGCCCTCAAAACAGTACCAACTGTGATTATTCATACTAGATTGGGAAAAAATTTATCAAGAGCCCGAGTTTTCTGTGGCCTGCAGCTGCATTGCATGCGCTTATAGCCACATTCCTTCCATATCTGCCTCATTGAAACTGATATTAGATGGCTGACTCCGAACAGAAAGATCCCAGTGATGAGGGGGTAGGAGGCAGCCACTCAGCTCAAAATGCCCGCACAAGATACACCAGAAAAAGGAATCCAATTAGCCTGTATAGAGAACTGCCCTGTGAGAGGCCTCCTGCAAAACAATGCTCCAGCCTCGGCCCTCTCCCCGTTTCCCTTATGCTAACCACCTATTTCTTCTGGAAGCTTCTCTTTCCTTTTGACCTTATTCACCCTCACTGCTTTTCCTACTCATCCTCAGGGCCCCTCGTTGTGTGTTCTCCCTCATTGCCCACCCTTCCTCTCCTCTCCTCGCCTCTCTTCTCTATTTCTCTCTTTTTATCCTTCCCACTCTTCCCATTTTGCAACATATTTTCTGTTTTTGCTCTTCCAACCTTTCTTTTCCCACATCCCAGCCTCTGAAATGTCTCCGAGCTATGAGGATTCCCCTGTCCCCAGCCCCAGTGAGAACAAAGCTCTCTAAAGGCAGCACCTCAAACTCTCTGCCCCACGGGGAAGAACTGAGGTGGTGAGCTTGGAGGAGAGGCAGTCCTGGCTTTGGAGTGTCCCCTCCCTCTGAAGGGACATGATAGTCCAGTCCCACCAAGGGAACAGAGGGAAGAGGCAGGTGAACAGGGTGAGGGGCTGC